AATCATCGGAGCGGTGGAGTGATGAGGATGTGTCGGCGCTTCTGGCGATTTACTCGGAGGACGCGAAGCGCCGCATTCAGAAGCTTCTACTGAATGCAGTTTCCGTGGCTCAGCAAAGTTAGCAGACCTGGCAAAGTCATGTCGGGACGACTACGAAGGTAAAATAAAATACATGCACTGCACTGTTTTAATCTGCACAATACTGGTCTTAGATGTACTTTTATTTGCTCAGTAGATCGAGCTAGCCATGCTAGAACTTGCTATCATAGGTCCAAGCTGGCTAACAACATCTAGCTAGCTAGCTATTCTCAGCCGTGCCCGCTATGAACACGTTTTGACTTGTGAATAAGTGTGCAATGTTCTGTAATTTGCTTCACTAACCCATGGCACTAATCGTGTGGTTCAGGCGAGGTGTTTCTCTCAGGATTAGAAACTAGTTTTCCCCTCCGGGATAAAACGATAATATAACGTTAGCAATTAGCATGCTAGCTGGACATAATGCTACCTCTAACAATACATTGTAGTTGCTATAATTTCAAGTCATTTGCAACATTCATTCTACATGTTAATGGTAAAAGCTTAAACAGTTGATTACCTGCATGCCACAAAGACTGATGTTCTAATATTTTTGCACATTTAAGTAGAAATGTAATTGAAATTCTATTTATTTTTCCTTTTTTTTATTGATTGTTATAATTGTACTCAGCCATGTTATGTTAGATGTCAATCCACTTACACTGTAACTACTCTGGCCTTGAAAGAAGGTTACACATCTAACTGATGTCCACTAATCCCTATAAAACAAAGTTCAAGCATACATTAAGGCGAGACACCCCAGGTGAATAGGGTAATTTTTTTAACTTAAAGGGCCCATGTCATGGCCATTTCCACTGATCATAATTACATTGTTGAGGTATACTAAAATAGATTTATACTGTGCAATTTTCCAAACTCACATTGGTTTCGCATACAGCATCTCTGTCAAGCATGTGTATTCAGCAGTATTCACTTTCTCCACTAAACGACTCGTTGGAGCTCTTGCCCCCCCCTCCCTGTGAGCCTAGTGTGCTCCGATTGGTCAGCTCGGCCACTCTGTTCTGATTAGTCAACCACCAGAGAGGCTGCGCCCATGTCTAAACGGCTGCTCTCAGCCGAACATCAGTCTTATCATGGCGTATATTTTATATACATATATATATTTTTAACTGTTGTTATAGAAGAGTGTGACGGCCCCAGGGCCTTTGTCTTACGATGGGGTCGAGCTGAAGAGGCTAATAAGCGCGATCACGGACACCTGGCCGGAGCCGAGGTGCTAGCCAGCTGCCGGGAGTCACACGGCAGCCTCTCTCTCCCTCCAAGCAGCACAGCAATCCTCTTCCCTGACCACGTATCTCTGCATTTACCACAATAAATGTGCCATGGTTTTGTAAACTCGTGTATGTCTCCTTGTCTTTCCGTTGTGGCCTTCCGAGTGTGGATCTATCTAATCAATCTAATGAACAGCTTGTCAGCTAATATGCTAACCTAGCTTTGTTTACCTTGGTAGCTAACGTTAGCTCGGAGGAACGGCAACTATAATGTAGAGTAATAAAACTACTATGAACAAAAGCTAGTGGTTCATATTAGGCTAGCAATAACGTGTTTATAATTGCAATGTTATACGGGTAGTCTGCTACGTTCGGTCATACATTGTAACGGTCATGAATACATTGTTTTGCGCTAGCATACAGCTAGCCTCGTAGCTATACATGCAGTATATGTACTGTCACAATGTACGGTAAATCACCCGGAGTATACTGTATGAGTATTCCGTGTGTGTGACTGCAGACATTCTCCTGCCATGACAAACATGTAAGGCCATCTGCTGACATTGTAGTTGATATATTTAAACTAGGGCTGTCAGTCGATTAAAATATTTAATCGCGATTAATCGCATGATTGTCCATAGTTAATCGCGATTAATCGCAAATTAATCGCACATTTTGTATCTGTTCTAAATGTACCTTAGAGGGATATCTTTCAAGTTTTTAATACTCTTATCAACATATGAGTGGACAAATATGCTTTATATGTTTGTTTATTATCATTTGAACAATGACAAATATTCTCATGAATATTAAACACAACAACCTCTGAACATTACAAATATTCGCCTCAATTCAACCTGGAACCTCTCTCATACAATAATACTGTGTGTGTGTGTGTGTGTGTGTGTGTGTGTGTGTGTGTGTGTGTGTGTGTGTGTGTGTGTGTGTGTGTGTGTGTGTGTGTGTGTGCACCTTTGTTAATTAAGAGGACTTTTGGTATGAATACACACCGACATTAGCCAGACATTTTGTATTAACAGGACAGGGTCGGTGTCCTGCTAATAAATACAAATTCTAAAAGCGTAGAAGTGTTTCTATAGGTGTAGAAAGCTTAAATACCCAAAAAAAAAAAAAGACCTTTTTATACACAAAACCCAGAAATTGTGTATTTTCTGTGTGTCAGAACAGCGCTCATACAGCTGGTTTTGGGTATTGCACCCGCTCATGAATATTCACACAGAAGGAGCTCTGATTGGCTGACTGCCGGATGGTCCTGACAATTCATGTTTCTGTGAAAAATGCTGTGTGTGTAATAATAATAATAATGATAATAATAATAATAATAATAATAATAATAATAATAATAATAATAATAATAATAATAATAATAACATAATAATAATTATTATGTAATTATTATTATTATTATTATTATTATTATTATTATGTCTAATACTACCTACATTTCATTGCAGTTTAGACATTTAATTATCAGGCTTTTGTTTAATACTATATTATGTCATTATTGTATAAAACAACAACAGAAGAATGGCTTGTGCCGCTGTTATGACGGTCAATGATAGTAACGGATAGTCAGCTAAAATGTGGTGGAAAATGTACGGGTACTGGTTAATGTTACGTAACATTACTACATAGGCTATGTACATTAATATGTGGGGTTGTGTTTTAATCACTGCGTTCTCAGCTCTACTGCTTATGTAGCAACTGTATTGTTTTCTCCGTACTCGCTATATAGTTCAGGTTAATCTTTCCACAGCCTGCAACGTAACCCTCTCACGTTTTGGTTCGCAGCTCCAGCCCATGCACCAGCCAGGCAACTTTTTAGTTCGCAATACCCCAGCGGGTAACCACGCAAATTATTTCTGTGTCCGGGCCCGGGCCGAGCAGGCATCATCATATGTCCGAAAAATAGGCAGAGTATCCGGATTACATGGAGCTCAGCTAAATGTTACAATAAATTATAATTTACTTTTAATAAGGTAACTTTATCTTTGTTTACATGCATCCAATCGTGAATGTATACATTTGCCCTTAATAATATCTTGACGTTTGGGAATCAGCAGTCCGTGGAAATTCACAAGGGGGAGGGACTCCCCGGACTGCGGTGACAGTCAGGGCATATTCGCATTTCATTCGCCAGACGTGAGGAGAAGTTCAAGGTAGGACTGGTGTAAAAACTTAAATGACACAGCTAATATGTTATGTTTTCATTCTTGTTTCGAGGCTTCTCAATGTTTTTATATTGGAAGCTTGTTGAAACTGTATGGAATTCAGTGTTTCCCCTAGGTTTACTGCTTTGGGGGGGGGGGGGGGGGGGGGTGGCATTAGGATATATTTTTTTTAAATCCTCTGGAGCAGAGAGAGGAGCTGTGGATTATTGTTATTGATTAATGCATCATTGTTTCTTAGGGTCCTAAACACTAAACTCACAACTTAAAATGAAAGCATGTAGTTTATTTAATAAAAGAGCACACGTTCAATGTGAAAAATGACAGTAGATAGGCTATAGATTAGTTGCAATTTTTTTTTGAAACACCTTGAATTTCAGGCGGGGCGCAGCGCCCCTCCAAGACAATGGTAGGGGAAACACTGGAATTAGAGACACGTTTTAGGCTAAAACGTTAGCAGCTACGGCTAATGCTAGCTTAATTGGGGACACGTGTCAGCATTCATCTAGTCAGTAGGCCTACATTTGAGTTTTTTATTCAAAATAATGTTATTTAAGGCAGTTTTTTCCATACATTTATTGAGCAAGCATTTGTAGATAATATTGATGAGAGTAATTCATCCTGGTAAGTTCCAATTCCATGTGAGTAAAACATTGTAAAAGTAGCATGCTTCACAGACATAGCTGTTAGCCCGTTGCTGCGTAAACAGTGAACTATGCTCTGATTAAGTTGATGAAATATCTCAGATATTTAGCGTGATTGCTGACTGTTACCTATGTTATTGCCGTCTTATAATCACAGCTTTCCATGTCTTACATTTGTCTGCACTTTTCAAGCTGTTAGCTGCTGGAAGCAGCCTGTTAGTTAGTCATCTCAAGGTTCAAGGTTCAAGGTTCTTTATTGTCAATCTGACATAGCTACAGAGTAATTATGCAGTTGAAAATCTTATGTCACAGGCTTCTCCAACAATGCAACATAATAACATAACATAATAACAATAAGAGCAAGAGCAATACAAAAATAGTAATAGTTATAAAAATGAAATAAAGTTATGATGTGGAATAGTGCAGTATGAGTCTATATACAAGTTATTGGAATGATATATATATATTAGGTATTAGATACATACTACTGAGTAGCAGTTGAATGTTTGATGTTGTTTCAACAGTTCAATTGTTTAACAGTCTCACTGCCCGCGGGAAGAAACTGTCTCCGAATCTTCTTGTCCTTGCCCGGATGCTGCGGTAACGTCTGCCAGACGGCAACAGAAAGAACAGTTTGTGGCTGGGGTGATGGGGGTCTTTGATAATCCGTAGTGATTTCTTCCTGAGCCGCTGGGAGTAAAGGTCCTCCATGGATGGCAGCTCCGTCCTGGTGATGTGCTGTGCAGTTTTCACCACCCTCTGTAAAGCCTTACGATCGAGGTCGGTGCAGCTGCCGTACCAGGCCGTCATGCTGCCAGTGAGGATACTCTCTATCTATCTGTTTCTGCATCTGAGTGTAAAGTACATTTAAACCCATACAATAACCTATACATAACAGCGTTAACACTGTGGTTGAGATTGTGAGGGAAGCATCCAGTGAAAACATGAAGCTGAACAGTTTATTTTGTTTATAGATGCCAAATGCACTGACTTAGCAGCCATTGTTACACATATTGAGCTGTTTCAGTGGCATGGCTTGCGTAGATAATCAAAGGGTCTGTTTTCTCACCAACAGTGAAAATGAACCCTTTGCTGGATATGGCATCAGCAAGACCCCGGAGAGCAAAGATTAAACCTAGAGAAGAGGCTGCACATTTTACATCCTTGTGCAAAGACAAGGATGGATTTGATGTGAAGTTCATAAATTCCTTCAAAGGTGAGTGACAAAAGTATTTGCTTACTATTCTTGTCATTAGCATGACAAATGTGTATTGTTGTTTAACCTCATCACTTCTCCTGACCCATCCTCTGATCTTTGTTAGGTCGAGGAGTGTTCAGCTGCCGACCCTTTCAAAACGGAGACTTCCTAATTGAATATAGAGGGGAAGTCATAACTAAATCTGAACGTGAACACCAGCAACAAGTATACCATTGTGCACTTAAGGTTTTCATGTTTGACTTTCGTATAAATGGACAAGAGTTATGGTAAGTAAATATTGTAATGTTATTTCTAAATGTGTAGTTACCCAGACATACAAACGCTGCTATCTTGATGTTAAGTTGGGCATACAGTGTACATTGAGCCTTTTTTTGTCTATATGTATTTGATCTAATGCTAGTTTGCTGTGGTTGTAATACTGTTAGTTTGTAATCAGAATTGTGTCCTTGCCCAATCAGTGTTGATGCTGCCAAAGAGGACAACTCCCTAGGGAGACTTGTCAACGATGACCATGTGAACCCGAACTGCAAAATGAAATTGAACAAAGTGGATGGAAAGCCCCATCTTTGTCTTTTTGCACTCAAAGACATCAGTCCTGGAGAAGAGATAGCTTATGACTACAGTGATTCTGATTGGCCATGGAGATGCAAGGTATTTACGAATGGTGTCTTGTATCAACACTCTGCTATGTAAATCTATCATTTAACACTATGTTCACAACAAACTTAGCTCTTCCATGTCCAATATGTTAGTCACATGGAAAATTGAAATTTCAACAGTTCTATACAAAATGCTATTAATACAAAAGATGATTTTAAATGATGGCCATTGACTTGATGACCTGTTATTGAACTATGAGGTGGATATTGTGTGTTAACTCACAACAACAGGCAAGTAAAGCATTTGTGTACTACTCTGGATGTTTAGTGATTAAACTTGGTCCTTCTTCATCCACAAGATTTCCACTGAGGCAGAGACTCTGCATGAAGAAGCTGCCATGGCATCTGAGTCCCACTATGATGACATTCAACAGGTGAGTTAACCACAACTCAATGTTGGTATTAGTTACATGTTTCTTTCCAGTTATAAACCATGAAGACTGGATGTGAATGCTGAGGTTAGATACACAGGTCCTGTGTATCACTCTACTGGACAGCTTTAGACACTAAGAGGACTGTGTGTCAATGCTGTTTTTCTTCTGTTAAACTGAATGATCATACTCTTTAGATATGAAATACTATAATCAGTGTCTTTCTACCTGATTGTAATAACTCACAACAAGAGCAAGTGAAGCATTTGTGTACTACTCTGGATGTTTCGTGATTAAACGTAGTCCTTCTTCATCCACAAGATTTCCACTGAGGCAGAGACTCTGGCCGTTTCTCAATCGCGAGGATATTGGCTTCCAAGCCAATATTTCAAGGATGCTACGTCATCGAGTGCCGCCGAAGGACTGTTCCATACTTGGAATTCTACCGAGGCCGCGTCCTTGGTTTGGGGGAAATTTCGAGGCTGCACATGGGTAGACTTTGCGTCCTTAAAATCCCCACAATGCTTTGCGCATGGACCAATTTCCCCAAATCTGTGGCGGAAGATGTAAGTTGGGGCTTCTCATATGATGCACACCTGCACACTTGCTAGCCTGTTCCACTCTTTGTTTTCCGAATGCCAGGAAGTATTCTTGCCTCGCTTCTGAAGCAAGATGCTCGGCTCGGCTGTGCTACCAAGCAAGCATCCTCACGATTGAGAAACGTCCTCTGTATGAACATGCTGCCATGACATCTGAGTCCCACTATGATGACATTCAACAGGTGAGTTAACCACAGCTCAATGTTGGTATTAGTTACATGTTTCTTTCCAGTTACAAACCATGAAGACTGGATGTGAATGCTGAGGTTAGATACACAGGTCCTGTGTATCACTCTACTGGACAGCTTTAGACACTAAGAGGACTGTGTGTCAATGCTGTTTTTCTTCTGTTAAACTGAATGATCATACTCTTTAGATATGAAATACTATAATCAGTGTCTTTCTACCTGGTTGTAATAACTCACAACAAGAGCCAGTCAGGATACTCTCTATGGTGCACCTGTAAAAATTGCAGAGTATCCTGGAGTCCATGTTGAACCTCCACATTCTGCGGAGGATGAAGAGCCGCTGTTCTTCTATCAAGCTGCTATCATCTAAATGTCGGTGCTCCTTCAAATGTTTTTGATATCTTAAAATCACTCTCAGCAAAGGCTACATACATTTTGTTAATTTTGGTCCAAAGCGCCTTACAATAAACGACACAACATTGTAAGAACAAGAGCTGAGCTGGAACATTTACTTAAAATAAGCTAATCCACAGTAAGAGCTGCTCAGTAGGTGCACAACTTTAAGTATCATCTTTCTTTTCTGTCAAGGTGCGGGTGTAGACTCCCTGCTTTTGTAATCATGTAATAACATAATAGCTGAAATGAAGATTGAATATTTACACAAATCTCTTGGTTAAGATGGATGTTTTCTTCTTCTTTTCTATCATTGAACACAAATGCAGATGAGAATGACAAGGAGCCTGGCAGGAGAGGGGACATGCATGAGCCACCTGGTAAATGTACACAAAATACTCTGCTACTACCAATGAGTCACTTTCTCAAGCATGGAGGTTAAACCCTGGTTCAGGTTATCGTGAAGCGTTAAACGTTAAAGCCATGAACTGAATTTTTCTGTTAAACTGGAAGATTTGAGTTTATCATGACCAAAAATGATCAGAATATGGTTTCCTGAAACTATATTGTTACATGCGTCTTTTTCCTGTTAAGAAGTCATTTAAAAACATTGTGAGGACGAAATACAAGTCTCAGAAAACTTGATCCTGTTAGTACTATTATTATGTCAAATACTAACTTTAAGCTGCTTAAGTAAAAAAAGAAAACGTAACCCTACATACAGAAGAATCATTCCTGCAAGCTCTGCACAGTTAGACTTACAGATGTTTAAATATGGCAAAGAGCAAGCATTAGCATTTGATCCCTACATGCTATTGTTCAGAACCAGCACAATATCAGAAATTGGAAGAATGAATGCCGGAAAGACAGTTCGATTCCTTCATCCCAAACCCATTTGTAGTTATAGTTTTAGTAAGTAACATAATACATCTTAAATAAAATACGTGTTAACGTGGTTACCATTGACTGATCTCTTTTTCTGTTTGTAGAGTCTCTTGAAAATGCTGTGGAGAGGAATCCCAGGAGGATGCAAAAACAGAAGTGGTCTCCAAAAGAGGTGGCAGCAGTTTTGAGACACTTTAATGCACACATTGCCAAGGGGAGATTGGCCACGATGATAGAATGCAGACAGTGCAAAGCAGCAGAGCATCCTATTCTGGCTGGTCGCTCTTTGCAAAATATTAGAGACTTCGTCAGGAACCAAGGCACGGCTCAGAAGAAAAAAGCACTGCTACAAAAAAGATGATGAGATTTAATCGAACATGCAGTGAGGACAGTTCACAGTTAAACTTTTCATTATTATGTTACATGTAGGAGCAATGTTTTATTATAAGGATAATTACGAGATTAAAGCTGTTATGTTAGGAGAATAAAGATGAAATCATTCCGGGGGCTGAGGGGTCGTTGCAGCAGATAGTTATATTGAAGGATTGGAACTTCACGGATCAAACACTCATAAACAAAACGTTGCTAAAACAGAAACTAACTACCGTAATAAGGTAAACAACTATCCACAATCCAATTTCATCAAAACAACTTCACACCCGCCGCCCTCTGAGCTGGACACATCACACAGGTGTCTGTCTGCAGCCGGAGGAGAGAGGAGGGGTCAGGGACCGTCTACAAAGTGCAACGCTGAATAAAGATACTATACTCAATAACTGCTCTGTTATAAAGCTACAAACATCACATTTTAAATCACACAATAATATACTGTTGCTTAAACTACACATGCAAGTTTGCGAAAATAGGTGGTTTTAGTAGTTTATTTGCAGTATTTTCTTCAGCGTTGCACTTTGTAGACGGTCCATGACCCCTCCTCTCTCCTCCGGCTGCAGACAGACACCTGTGTTATGTGTCCAGCTTGGAGGGCGGCCGGTGTGAGGTTGTTTTGATGAAAATTGGATTGTGGATAGTTGTTTACCTTATTACGGTAGTTAGTTTGTGTTTTAGCAAAGTTTTGTTTATGAGTTATTGATCCGTTCCAGTTCCAATCTGTCAATATAACTTCCTTGAAGATCTGCTGCAATGACCCCTCAGCCCCCGGGATAATTTCATCTTTATTCTCCTAACATAGCTACTTTAATCTCGTAATTAAGACTTTATTCTCCTATCTTTTCTTTTTTGTGTGGCCCTAATCCTCTGTCGTACCAAGGTAATGCTGGAAGGAGAGTTATATGTTTAAAATAATAAAGATTTAGTCTTAGCTCAATTTTCATGTGAGAAAATGTTATGTGAAAATAACCATTAAACTTGGCTCATTGTTCACTGTGCAAGGTGCAATATGTCCTTTTGTATCAGCTTTTAAACGGTAATGCTCCAAGTAGATGAGCAGTCTTGTAGGGCAAATAGCATTTTGTATTAGTGATAAACCAGTTCGGTCACTTTGCTATAAAATGGTTATCGGTTCTTTTCATATCGATGATGTAATTGCAATTAGCAGTGCTGCAAATATAAGCATTTACTTGCAAATGGATTTAATTCGTCTCGGAAGACCTGCTTGTAGTATACCCCTCTGGAGAGTATTAGAATGTGGTTCTACATTTGCATGAAAACAACAGATTGCAAACAGGAGGCAAGCAATAACCAAAACACATTAACATACTTTTAAGCTATATATCTATGGTGCACTATATTGTCTATTAAAATATTACATCACAAATCAGGTATTCCTATGCTGTTGTGCAAAACATTTTGTCCGTTTATAAAAGGTTTGTTCTTGTAATGCACAATCCAACACGTTTGTGTAAAGTTATGTTCCATTTAATCATGTTTGTCCCTTTAATACACTTCAGTGACATGTTTGTGTGTTGTATAGCTACTGTCCTCACAAATAACCATTGTGTCATGGGCGGGGCTTATGCAGCTCATTATCTGCTGTCCTCATAATGAAGCATGGTGTCAGGTTGTTGTATTTTGAGTTGTGCTATGTGTATGGGACATTTGAAGTGGGATTTGTGTTGTATGGCTCAAAATAGATTTTTTGATATTCAAAACATCTTTGTAAAGCTAGTGGAAAGGGGTGTCCACCTAATGATGGAAAAAACGTGTTTGGGTCAAAGTGTCCTTTTAGTTCACAAAAACCCGCATGTGTGTGTGTGTGTGTGTGTGTGTGTGTGTGTGTGTGTGTGTGTGTGTACACTGATGAATCGTTGGAGCTATGTGCAGCTCAAGGCATAATATACTCGAATGGGAGCTGCCTGGACGCTGCAATCATGTTGCGCGTACTATCCGTGCTGAGTGTGCTGACTTTTCGTACAATGTCCCACTGTCTGGCTACCTGCATAAAGTCAAGTGCTCGGCGCAGTTGTCGGCGAAATGTCATTGAAACAGCTCCTTATATCCGTTAGCGCAGCTAGCTAGCACCAGATGCTAACAACAACAACACGTAAGGTGTGCCTCGCTCGCGCGAGTCGCGCCACACATACACACTCCCTCCCGGTCCTCCCGATGGCCAGTCCGGGCCTGCCGGTGAGCGTGGAAGTGTGGTCTGCCACAAGCGGGCGGCAGGAGCGAGGCTGTCAGCATCAGCTTGTCGATGGTATTCACTCGATGCGCTCTGAAACTACGGCGGCCAAGGACAAAAAATACACATGCGTTAATCGCGTTAAAATAATTAGTGGCGTTAATTTTTTTTTGCGTTAACGCGTTATTAACGCGTTAACTTGACAGCCCTAATTTAAACGCTAGCAACGTAGCATCACAAAAATGTTTTTCCGACCAAAGCTAGCTCTAGCTCTAGCTCCGTGTGTTAGATCGGTTGCATACACGCTACGCCAGCTATAATGTAATTACGTTTCGCGACTGACCGCACGGCAAATCACCCGGAGTATACTGTCAATAGGTATTTTGTATGTGAATGCAGACATTCTCCTGCTATGAGATACATGTATGCAAGGCCATCTGCTGATATTAGAGTTGATATATGGAAACTCTAGCAACTTAGTTAGCACAGTTAGCACTGTGTCAATGGCTTAGCAGTCCAACACAGTTTACACATTTAAACAGTCTTGTTTGATAAATACACAAATAACAATGCAAACGTACAGGTTGTGTACCCGGATCTTCCCCTGCTCCAAACGGT